TTCTTCTTTCCAATTGCTTAAATTGGAAAATTTACTGCGATGATCATTCTTCACTTTCATCTACAACTGCAGTTCAAATATGAATTATTTCATATATACTTCACAAAATATAGCTTTCTCAGCAAAATTAGGGCCCATTTAGCATCATGGCACCCAAAACACTGATATTTAAAACCGGCTTTTTTCGGTGAAAATTTGGCAGTCAAAGGGTTAAATCAGAAAATGACTGACTGAGCTTTTGTTTGGGCCAGAATAAAGTTGCCATGGTAGTGGAAGTAGTAGTGGTAACAGTGGAGGTGGTAGAAGTGATATTGGAAACTACATCTAGACATTTAAGACCAAATCCCTCAATTCTGTCACTTTTTTTCCCAGAAATTCCCTTTTAAGTTGACTAAGTGTCATAGCAAAAAGAGGCTACGTTTTCGTATTGTTATGATATCACTTCAAGAATGACATGTACTATAAATGAGAAAGAAACTGACATTAAATTTTCTTCCCTAGTATATTTACTGGTATCATCCATCTCCTTAGAGCTTGATTTTAATTACTGAACAGTAATCACTAATTTGTTTAAATTTAAAATTTTGTCTTTGACAATATCAATCTAAAAAAGTAACAACTCAGAAGCCATCCTTCTCCTTACCTTCTTCGATAACTTGTTCCCCATTAGCATTATAACACTTGTAGTTTAAATTCATAAAATGCTGAAAATAAACATATGGAACTTAAGATGAATTGTTAGATTTGGCTATAACCATGGTACATAATTTTAAAAAATACTTTTTAAGTCACTTTTTTTCTTCAGTCTTTATCTGCAAGTATTGGTAAGCTTAAATGTGGACTTTGAACTGGTTTCCAATCATAGCATCACATGTGACAAAAATGTTTTGGAAGCAGAGTAACGAAGAAGCAAACAAAGGAATCCAGGGCTTCAATGAAAAACCTCAAGAGTAACATCTCGTGTTCTAACCCCTTGGGTATGTATTGGGCAATTACAGATTCAGGGCAAATATTGGCAAAATGTCCCCTAGGCCTATGCCAGTGAGGCTTGGGGTGCAGTGCCAAGTATAGTCAAAATGCACACCATTCCATGTGGGGTTTGGTTGAAACACACACATATACAAAGACAAAACAAGTCAATTCAGAACCAGATGTGTCAATACAATTTAGGATATAGTTTCTTCTGAAACCTTTGACAACAATCACTGTAGATATAATTAAATAATCTACAATCACATTAAATATCTATTGTCATAAATAAACATACCTCATGTTCAGCTTCAAATGGTGGTAATCTGGATACAGCCATCCAGTATAATCTTTGATCTTCTCTTGGTTCACTTCCACAATTATTATTACTGGCACTGAAAAAAATAAAAATGTCATTGTACAATGTACATCATATCAAGTTTGTGTGCATCACCAACATGTACATAGACACAATTGTAATGTTATAATAACCAGGATTTTGACACTGTCAATAAAAATCATCAGCAAGGCAATTAATGCAGCACTCCACAAACGATACATGTATTATGTGCTCCCTGAAGCATGGAATTCCTTGGACCAGGGTCTAAATGTAGTTCTAGAATGATCATTTTCTGCTGATTTTAGCTTCTCTAATGCGCAAAATCTACACTATAATATTACATATATATTAAATATAAATTATTCACCATGACATTTGAGGACCATCAACTGATTTAAGCCAAAGATTTTTGACCAAAATCTACTTTTTACATACATGTACAACCCAGGTTATTCTAAGATGTCTATTTTTAACATTTTTCAGCCATTATTAAGTAATTTCTCATATATTTCTATTATGATTACCTCGTGTTTACCCAAAAAGCCCTCAACAGCACAGTGCATTCTTGCACCTGAGATGTTAATTTGTGTGTTTTCTTGGTTCTCTAGCTTACAGCCAAATGATGCACATTTTGTTTGGTCTTTTAATACATTGACATGTAATCATAGTCACTACTCATGCTAACCACATACCTTTCTGCACGGCTAAATAATTGTACTTTTGAGTTCTTGCTTGCTGATGAAGGTACCACACACAAGTTGTTTAATCTGTTGTCTGCAAAACCATAACAACAACAGTGGTACAAGTAGTAAATTTCACATCAAATCCGTAACCTGGATTTAACTGGTAGCAAGGTTTATTGGCAATGTGAGCTTGAACAATAAACGACCAGCAGGAGAGGTAGGGGGCGAAAGAAAAAAAAGATAGTAAGACAACTGATGTCAAGTGGACACAAACTGCAAGAAAGTCCTTATGGTTGGGGCCCAGTAGTCCATCATTCCAGACCAGTGTTTAGTCATTTAACTGTGGTTTCATGTAGCATCATGTATCCAGGAGTATTTCTGCTCCTCCTGGTTAGACAGAGCCACTAGGAGAGTAGCACTATATTCTTGTCGAAGAACAAGGTCTAAGAACAAGGTCTTCAACCTTGACAAATCAATCCTCTTAAGACAAGTACAGAATACAAGTCAACAGACTAATTAAATGATCAGAATATTCATGCTCTCTCTATTTGTTATATGAACAGGCACTGCAATACCTAGCCAATCCTAACTGTTATTATTTTTTCAAGAATGTGCTGACTGGTTTGAACATTACACTATTGGTGTTTGTTTCAGTTGTGACCTGAGGGATCTTGGTTAATTTATAACAGTCAAAAGAGAAGTGATCCATGGAGGCATGTACATCAAGTACATTTCACTTGTATGTGTGCATGATAAAATGTCTGATGTACACACCCACTGTAACACCATTTTTGTGAGAAACTCTAAAGCCTGGTGCAACACCACCACAGTGTCGTTCCCTAAAAACAATCAAGAAACAAGAGAAGATTATAAGTGAGGCTCTAAAAGTTCACATAACTTGAAGACACTAAGTCTTGTATCCTTAACCTTCCCTCCCTTCCCAACCTAATTTCATACCAGACAATGCATCTTTTTTTTTCGCCATCTTATGCTGGGCATTGTACTGAAAGGTAAATAAGTGAGCCACTTGGATGCAGCTTAGAAATACATGTACATTCTACATAAAAGAAGACACACTAAAAGTAACGTAAAGGTAATTTAAACATTTTTTTGCATCTTTTAATTTAGTTAAATGACAATTACTTAACAAAGTTAACCACAAGCTTAGCTGGCTCTTCAGACAAAAGCAGGCTCACATGGAACATTGCAACTTTGTTAAGACTGGATCTTCAAGTTCTCAAGCATTTTTGTCCAAAGCGGTTTAGTAGCAGTTGTCTTCATAAGTCCTAAATGAAGCTGGACTTCCCAGCTGATAAACATGATACAGTATTTTAACCTTTCAAGTCCAGGTTCAAACTATGAAGAACTCAGGTCAAGGAAATTAAAGAGTAAACAGACAGAGGCAGCAAATATCTTACCAGATATACTCATGAAAATAACATCCATTTGTTTCTTCTCTTGACAAGTCAAATGCATACGCAAATATATTAGCTCCATTACCATCTTTGTTGACATCAACTTTTGCCTAAAAGTTAGCAAAATGAATGTTGTTCAAATCTTATGAGGGAGACAGCATCTTGACCATTTCAGATCAATCAGCCTTATGTGCCACAAAGGCAGAATAAGGATCTATGTATGAATGCATGAAAGGACTGTCAGCTCTCAGCCAATAAAAACAGAGTTAGAAAGCAATGCCAATTGGGTATAAAATCACTTTCGAAAAACCTACAAACAAGTAAATATCTTGATAAAATGCTTGTTATCAATGAAGAGACTTTGTGAACTATGGGTAGTTGTCAAGACATTCAACTAATTGATATTGTGGTACCATAATGTATCAATTTTCACATACATACACATAGTGTGAGTAATCAAATGTTAAAACTGAATGTTTATAGAGCAATATCTTCAAACAATTATCTCCTCTACTTGTTATTGTCATAAAAAATGTAAAATGCTTTTCTCACCTCAAATCTGAATCTCTTCACAAGATGGATGTCTTTTTCATCCAGCAAAGAGTATTTATGCTGTAACGGATAATCAGAGACTTGTGAGCATGAGAAATGTATTCTAAAGGAATACTAAAAATCTATTAAGTATGTATTTACAAGGTTTCCATATAATATGGAAACCTTGGCCTGGTTTGTTCAATATTATTGATAATTTACATGTAACACATTAGAAACCAAGATAATAATAAAGATTATCTCCAAGGATTCACATCAACCTTGTAGACACCCTATGTGTTCTGTAAAAGAAATGCATGCAGATATGATTGTTGTCTAATCACTGATGAAATAAGAGTTGTTCTAAAAGAGATAATGTTTGTCTTACACAACTGTGCTCAACCCACATTCTTAACATGCCTCTCTTGGTATCATCAGAAATCACCACATGTGCCCACAGTTCACCACTAGCAGTCTGTTTTTCTCTCAACATTCAACAGGGATCATGAGTCGCTTAAAAGGGATTGGGACAAGACATAGGTGAGGCACACATGGGAAGAAAATCAGACATTTTTGTCCTTGTCTCGTCCCAGCCTCTTCTCATCAATACCGCCAATAAACACTTGTCTGACCCTAAGAGAAAAGACTCCCTGCTGGCAGTCTTAACTTACCCAGTAATGAATATGTGAGACAAAATCTCACTTGAGTCTAACAAGCTGGCCTCAAGAAGAGAAAGATTGCAGAACCATTTAAAAAAAATGGAAGTGCTCCCCAATCAGAAGTTACCCTATCAGCATGTGCACAATTTACACTACCAGCACACTTCGGTAAGATCAAACAAAGCGACACAGAGTTAGTTTTTCTCTTTCTTTTGCCCTTGTTTTTCTGTTTTCTCTTATTTTGTCTTTGCTTGTACTTTTTTAATTTTGCATTTGTGAAACACAAAGAAAAAACATCTAAAATGTAAGCGAATTTGCAAGTGATTGAGTTGTTTTTATTTTCCGCGCTCAGGCTGACACAAGTAACCAGAAGTGAAATTTCACCTCCTTAATAACACGTGTGAGTACGCACATGAATCGGTTAATGGGCCCTTGATACACGCTTGACTGTAGTCTCATGCTAGGTTTGATTACCAGCCGCTGTTCAAGAAAGGAGCCCGCACAACTGTCCCAAACTCACAGCTGGATGCATGAACTTGGCATTGTAAATTTAGTGCATATATTAAATTGTGAATGACATATTTACGTCAAAGACGTGCATTGCCGCTCACACGTCCAGCTGTCTCTCTCCAGGAGGAATGTAGACTGGACTCAAGTGAGCACAGGAAATCAAGCCTAGTCTTGCACACATCTAGCTGCCAGTTACATTGGTTTTGAGAAATAAAATTGTGATGATAATGCACAGTGTCCTTCACAGTCTGAGAACTAAATACTTTCAAGGTACACGCAAGAACATGATTAGATCACTGGTTACACCCAAGAGATCTGTAATTTCTGTAATACAGAAAATGCAGTAGATGAAGAGCTCCCCCAGTGGTTCTTTAATGTTAAATAAAACTGGGGTGTTTAGACTGTAATCCTTTAAAGTGTCTATTTAAAACAATTAGACTACTCTTCGTCAACTGCTATGAAAGATAGATGCTCATGAAACACTCGGCTTCTAGTCTAATTGTTAATTAGATCATAAGATAGAGAATAAATACACGTTTATGGCATGTACACTGTATAAGGAACAGTGGCAGATGGGCAGGCGTGTGTTCATCTACGATAAGCCTTAATGATAAACAGTTCAATGGATAACAGCCAAGAGTCATAGCACTATAGCTTCTAATCCAGTTTTGCCTGCAATGGAGATTGCGACGTCTACACTGGTAAAATATATTTCCAGTCAGATCAGTTGTCAACTACATTCATTACCTCCAGTACATACTTACACTGTATCAAATCTCTATCTTGAAACAAAAGAAAACTTTATCCGAATATCGATGCACGGACCAATTTTAAACTAAGGCTTACACATGAAAGAAAAGCTTGCTTGTAAATTAAATTAGTTTGGACATGTACCATAAGCTTAAGTTAAGCTTATATTGAGGAATATCAACAATTTTCTAACACTTCCATCTCTGAAGCCGATCAAAGATAAGCTTTGCAAGTTGATTTAACTGATCAACATAATTCAGCACTTACCTTACCACCAGCCTTGCCGATATACACAATGCCTAGCTTCTGCCCTGCTTGCATTATTCCTCCGAATTTGGTTTATACACCGAGATTTCTAAAGAAAACACAAGAGGGCAAACATGGCGGATTTCTTGCACTGCGATCCCATCACCTTGCTGATCAGCGGTCCCACGATCAAACCACATGGGGGCTTGGTAACCGGGCATATCATCAGAAACAGTCTCCTTTGTGTGTCTTGTGTACATGTGGTTCTGTAGCCTGCTTCAAATACGGGTTAACCACATACTCTACGAAACACCTGTCTATGTGCAAAGGAAATGCTGGCAGTAGAAATTTTCATATTGGAATGACGCACAGGAGCTTCCCGACAAAGAATTTGAATCCCAGAGGCTTACCTTCTAAATACATTCTCCACCTTTCATTGCTCCCAGCGCTAGCTGGTTTGGTTTTCTAAACCCAAGTTACGAGAGCGGGCCATGAGAGGTGACTGCATTCGCAAGATACACTACTGTTCGTGATAAAGGAGATTCCGCGGATCACGAAAGACATTTAAGAAAAAGACAAAATATACGTTGCGATTAAAGAAGTGTTTGCACTCAAGAGAAAACATCTTTTAACCCGAGCAGTTCTCGCCGTCACAGCAACCGGTTGGAAGAGCGCGAAACGACATATTTTTACTAAGACTAATATTTCCCCTGAAACTAGAATTGTGAAATATTCCAAGCGTGTCAAATGAATATGTCAGGCTTACAAAGATTCAACCGATCGCACTTGAGAAACTGAACCCGTGACCTTCCGCACACCGCTATGAAGCTATAACTACTGAGCTGTGGGGTACATGATGTGGATAAATGTACCATAAAAAACGAATGGAAACGTATTCCCCATGCCAGTTAATGTAACTTTACTAGACCTCGGAAAGAGGTAAACATTCCTTTCAAACTTGGAAACAAAATAAATGCAAAAGTATAGAAAGAACAAAACACTGACAGATCATGGAGAACTGAATAAATATTTCGCAACGAAACAGCAAAGCATAGACGTCTTGTGATAATACCTGAGCTATTACGCCATCAGAATAGTCTTTTTTTATCAAGATTATTCCAACTCAATCATGTTCAGGGATTACAAATGATCCTAATGGTTTGCATTTTATTACTCTCATGATTCAAATGTTTTCCGTCCACACTATTCATTTGAAAACCCAACAATGGTCAACAATCACCGTTCACTTCGGATGATTATCGTGACGTCATCGTTCAAAAAAAACTCCGTTTTTAAAATGTTTTCCGTCCAAAATAAAGCGAAAAGCAGGCGTCTTCAAATTCGTCCGGTTAGAAGAGCGTTTTCGAAAAGCTCCGTTCTCGTGACGGATTAGTGTGGACGGTAAGCCCAATAAAGCTGCGTTTTCGAATATCTCCGGAACACTGTGGACGGGGCCGTATTTGGCGGGTTGTATTTTCGCAGGAACTTTTCGCGAAAATGGAAGAGGCGAATTCCGCGGTATTTAAAGTCTGCGATTTCGCAGAAACTGAACCAAATTGACCAAGAATTTTCTTAAAGGCTTAAGAGTATCCCAGAATATAAAGTCACCATTCAGAATGATAGTGAATAGAACCATAGCAAAACAAACTTCAAAAACACGTTGACATGTTGTTTGCGACAAAGCGCAACGTTATATTTTACACAGACATGTCTTCTGTTTTTTTGTATGACTCGGAGAAAGAGAGGGTAAACGGAGCACTGATAAGAATTTTATTTTGTTCTGATCTGATTGGTTGCCAATCGCAAATGGGCGCTCTATGTATATTGGGATTTGGATAGGATGTTAGGCTTCATTAAGTCTAGCTAATTAAGTTGAATAAGTGCAACGCGACGGCCTTCCTTGGCAGCGATGCTGTAGCGGTACCAATCAAACAATGCAGCAGCTTTTGATATTTGCCATTTTTCCTTTTTCACTTCCTGCATCGAGCCATTTTTCTGGTTTAACCTGAAAAAACAGACGGCGTTTCCCTACATTTATTCTACTCTTAACTATGCAAGCACGAAGCCCAGTCCGTTTCAATCTGATCTTTGCTTATATATTGTGCAACGACTGTCAATTCCATTTCACAAGTACTGGCACAGTTTTAAGTCGCACCAAATCACCAAAGTTCAAAGCGTTATCATCCTTCCTCAGAGCAGGACATATTTTTCAAGTGATCAGCAAATAGAATTGGGAAGAAACAAGATTATTTTAATGATTTTTGATAAAGCCTAGTAAGTTTTATCAGCCTAGTGCAGATGGTCGCCTACCCTCCCTTTCCACAAGTTAACGTCTCACTAACTTAATGGTGGGGAGTGAATCTTTTTCTGTGTTTTTTTGTTTTTTAGTTTACCCCCGTCGTGGTTACGGCTTATGTGTTTTCGTCATTTCACACCGTAGTGTTTTCTCGCACAGTGGAAGAAATTTTTCACAACGACACACTATTAAAATATTCCGTCCTGCATCGTTTCCCAACAACTTGGATGACGAACGCTTACATACAAAGGTGCGATGAAAAGTGTTTTCGTTATTTGATTACTTGAAGTTCTCTCGAGTTTACATGTACATGTAGTGCTGTGGCTCCGATTCATGGAGGCGCTGTTACCTAATGTTTAGCGCGTCGAACTCTCGGTTTAGCGGTCTGGGTTTGAGTTCTGAGGCTGACGCCACAGAACTTGCCAGAAGCATACATGTATTGATTTGCTGCTGTTAATAAGAGGAGGTACCGAGATCTCTGATGTTTTGTCCTTTATTTCTCGGACTACTGTCTGGTACAATCTTCGTCTAACTTCTACTGCTTCTACTTCCACCACTACTCAAGTGGACTGGCATATGGGTAGCTATGTGCAGGGGCGGATCCAGGATTTTTCTAAGGAGGGGTGCACCACTATAGAACGGCGTAACTGACTGGTGAGGTAAACAAATTTTAAATGCGAATACGAAGGCTTCATTTCAGGGGTGCACACCCCCTGTACCCTCTCCCTAGATCCGCCCCTGATGTGTGGGCCACACGTAATGACTGACCTTGGAGGATTCAACATCTTTTTAGAATACTAACCCAAACACTTACACGCGACTTCCTGAAGCGAACTACAAAGTTGAAAATAGAAGCTAAAGCTTAAAGAACAAGAAAACTAAACGTACAGGATCTTTCGTGGGAGATCTAGCAGACCAAGGCCATTAAAAGAACCCGCCAAACATGACCATTGATATGGTGTTGTTAAGAGCTAAACTAGTGCTCGTATTATCATCAGGCAAACGCGAGAGGAAGTTGAGAAGAACGCAAATGTTTATCTACTGTAACCCCGAGCCTTGGGCAAGAGTTCAAGTTCTTCCAACTCTTGTTTATTTTCATCAGAAGATGTTGACGGCGGTACTGGCGGTACATTAATTACCGTTTCCTCTCCATCGGTTTTTTTGGATTTCTCTGATTTCTCTCCTATAACCTTAGAGATTATCCAGGCTATTAATGCAGTAGTAAAGTATAAAAGGGCCGCCTTAACTACTTCATTTGCAGTTTCCCTTATGAAAAAGGACTGTCCAGCTAATATCAGTAGAGTAACAAGTAAAACTGTGGAAAACCAACCAAATATACAAAGAACTGAATTCATAGGATCGAAATCGGAGTGAAGTACGATGAAGACAAGAAAAACCGTGACAACAATAACAATGGAAATAACTAGTAGAACAGTAATACCCCATAATGGGTTAATCATGATTCCGATTACAAGCCAGCAAAAATAATATATAGTCAGGTTTGTCCACAGAAAGATACCAACTTTTGCCACTAATTCTATTGAGGTATTTCCTGGAAAGAACTGATATTTTTTTCCTGCAAAAATGCTAGCTGGTACTAGCACTAAAACCTCCAGAAATATCAATGGTAGGATTACATACAGATCGCACAGAGTGTTACCAGATTTTAAAAAACCAATGGTCGTAAATAGAAGTGTACTCTTCCCGATTGATAAAACGCACGAGACAACTTTAACAGCCTTAGCTAACATTTGTCTCTTGCTTTTGTTTTCTGGACGTTTGTCCTCAGTCGAATCGTCTTTTCTTTTGTTTTTTGTTTTATCATTGTTATCATTATTATTTTCAGTGTGAAAAAGAGCGAAAGTTATTGTGGCCAACGTTGGGCCAAAAAGTATTGTAAAAACAAACGAACACCACAACATTGCCCTGATGTAAGCCCTGTGCTCTGCAGGTATAGCAGATATGTTTGTCTTGTGGCCCTCTATGACACACTCAGCTGTGTTCAGCGTTGGATCTTGTATTGCTGGTCTCACGGCCAGATCTTGAAGCTTTCAAAATAAAAAGTACTATATAAGTGTCTAAATATCAGTAGCTATTAACATACTGTTCCCAAATCAAATTGGAATTTATAAATGTTGATTTCTGTGGATGGAGGAAAACCAGTGAATAATCTCGAAAGAAATTCTCGGACCAAGGACGAGAGCCGTCAGCAACTTTACATTATGACGCAAGGTCCAAGATTCGAACCGGAGTAACATTGGTGTATAATTACTATTGAGGGCTAGCGCTCAGCGAAACGGTCCCCAAACCCCATCCTACTTTAAGCAACTACAGTGGAACCTCACCGTTAGGCCGACCATGCACCTAATCATGTCTGCTCCTTTTTGGGGGCCCAAAATATAGCTCACTCTTTTTCCTCCTGATTTAAGTAAAACCACTTTCGACTGAGTGTGGCCACACCGCCATACGTATGCGAAAGTGTTGGGTGCTATGTAATGGAACGTCGTGAAAAAACAACAACTTCTGTCTGTCCTGATGAATTCGAGGAAAGCAATACTGCCAGCGAGAACCTGGGGCAAGCACAGTGTTTACGCAGAAGAGCTAAGCGGGGTTAATTACATGTAACAAGCTTCCTGGATCAGTGCAAACGGCAAGACTCAAGACTGCAACTATACTTGACAAAGCAGGAACAGCCCATGTCGACAAGTCCTAACTGCATTAACGAGCTGGCCGTAAACGATGTTAAAACAACTACAACTTTACAAGTAAATACATTGTATATCAATTAACATCGCATTTTGATAGGTTCTTACTTATGATCAATTGAAGGACAGACGAATATAACTGCTCATAGCTTACCTCAGCCAGAACTCTGTCGATCATCATAAAGCGGTCATCTTCAGAGACGTTACAACAGAACGGTGCAATTGTGATATTTAATTCTCGCTTTCGAGATGTGACTAGGATCGAACCAAGAGACAATAACTCAAGAACCCTGGCAGGCAAGGCGGCGTATAGACATGACATGCTCCATGTGTACGGAACTGGTGAGGATTTTCCCGTTTGGTTGAATGTATGCAAATTGACATGAACAAGAACAGATGAAGGCTTCCTTGCAGGGTACAGAGCTAGAGCAATGTTGAAGTAGTTCTTCGGCGATGCCAAGGCACTGTAGACATCTGCGTAGGTTTCAATACAGGTGGTATTATTCACACATTCTTTGATCACATTGGCTTTGGTGTGCTGAGCAAAATTCGTCACTATGACTTGGATCAGCAAAAGCAGCAGGAAACACTTCTGCAAAGTGGCCAGGAACATTATGGAGGTCTCCACCACAGTTCTGTTTGAAAGAAAGTTACGAATATTAACTGCTTGATTTCTGAAAAGTGAACTTTACTTTTGGTTACACTCAACAGCGAGACCGCAGCTAATATATCACAAACTAAAATCTTCTATCGATTTTACAAAGTGGGTTTTAGCCACGAAACTCGGAAAATGAATCCTCTGTAAACAGTAGCAGTTTCAGGGCCCTTGAATTGAGTTCTCAATATCCATATGTCGATTAGTAAAATAAAAATAAGATAAAATAAATAACTTGCAAATAGAACTGACATAAACTATTAAGAATCCCAACTGGCGCATGGTGGGAGGCTGACCAGGTGGCTATTTACACAACGCAGTCGAGAAGTTGAACTCAGGACTACCGAGAAAATATCCAGATAGCGGGAGGATGGAGGATTTGAACCACGGACCTCCAGATTGCAAATCCAGCGCCCTTAACCACTCGGCCACGCCGCCTCCACAGGCTCATTACTCATTGATTACCCATCGATTACTCGTGGATTGATGTGGATTGATTGACATCATAATTCAGTAGTATACACGACCCCACAAGCTTTGTAGCTTTAATTTGGTGTGGGCGGAAAGCATTTTGGAAACGGAGCTTTTCGAAAACGATGACCTGAGTTTTCCGCAAGCCGGCACAAATCCAAAGTGACTGGTGATCGCTGCGTTTTCAAATTTCTCCGCCGTAACCAGTGTGGATGCTGCCTCAGCTGTCGTTGTTATTGCACAGGACATCTAAGAAATGTACAAAGGTTTATGACGCACAGCCATTGTACTGCTTATTAAATCTTTTGAGTGGTGACGTTATCGTCTCCCTCAAGGTTTGCTTAAGCACACTTTCAATCTTTGAGTAAGGGTGTCACTAAACACCGGAACGGAACGGTCAGAACGAACCAAAACACCGGAACGAGCTGCAAAGAGCCAGGACACCGGACCCAGAACAAGCCCGAATGGCACGAGAATGGGCCGAACTGACACCGGAATGGACAGAAATAAAACGGAATGAAACAAACACGAACTGGGTCGAACGAAAATGAATCAGAATATACAAGATGAACCGGAATGACCCCGAATGGACTCGGAATGGAGCAGAATGGCACCAGAATGAGCGGCTTTTTTCGCGTACAACCCACGCGTAATGCGCGAACTTATGTTAACAAAGGGAGAGATAAGTAATTAAGACTGCATTATTGTCGTTGTTTCTTTGTCACATGTACTACCAATACAGTGGACGAATTACGCTAATTACATGCCACAATTCCAATCCACCAATCCAATCGTGTTTTCCCTCAAATTGGAAATCTTGATCTGGATAAAAACAGGTATCAGAACAGCGCGCAATGCATTGAGCTACAAGTTTTCATGTCGCCGAAAGTTCGCCAGTTGACTTCCTCGATCCTGTCCTTGACACTTCGACCACCATCTACCATCCCCGTCCACCATCTAGCTAAGACCCACCTCAGCCTGTCATCCTACAGCAGCTTGCCTATCCTGCGCTTGATACGTCGTCTATCCTGGATCTATTCTCCACAGCTGGTAGACAACAGAGGTTACCGCTACAACGTTAAACGTCTTAGATACCACTGACTGGCAATGAACAGTCAGGGCTAAGCTAGCTATCGTGAAGTGAGCTTAATAGCTTATTTTATATCTGTTGGTGCAAAATTGAATAACTTATTTCTCAACTCTCTTTTAAGTCAACCCATGCAGGGTTGTCTCTCTTTTAGATCAACCCGGTAGTGATACAACGCAACGACAGTAGTTAGCAGTTATCAGCCCATCCCCACAACCGCCGAACAGTCCCTGGAGAAGTAGTATCTGCCACCGTCACTACAACAGCGAAGGCCAAAGCTGTGGCATATCGAATCAGAGCAGTTTCTGCCGTCGTCGAGGAAGTTCTGCTGCAGAACATGACTGATGAACCCTGAACAAGTCTACCCTGGCCAGAGTACATCGCCAGAACTGCCCACAGAATGCGCCAGCAACTCAGACCGAAAGACCTGGTGGACCCAGACTTCAAGATCGCCGATAGCCACATTTCTGACGGTTTCTTTCGCTCACACGTTAAAGCGGGTGGCCATCGCCATCTCAGGTTCGCCACCGGCCTGCAACTCCAGTTCCTTGCCCGCATAAAGAGCTGGAACATCAACGGTACCTTCAAGCTGTGCTGAAACCACTTTACTCAGCTTCTGACGGTACGTCAACGCGTTCGTCAAACAGGACGACCACGCTAAACACCCCTTTAGGAGCGGCTACCAAATAAAATGAAACACCGAACTAAAGCAATGACTAACAGGAGTGATTATAACTTGCATGGGACTGGGTACGTTAGCTATTAAAAATGGCGGGATCTGTATTTCGAGCATTGAATTAATATTATTATTATTATTATTATTATTATTATTATTATTGAAGTATTCCTCGATTGAAAGCGGCTTTTTTTTGGGACTGAGACGCAAAATAATTCGTGATGAGATGCAATGTATTAGCCAAAGCGTACTCGAACGAATAATGTTAAAGTGTAAGCGACCGGAACTGACGTAAGGGTCACGCAATTAGGTAACCGGTCGTTTAGCCTCCAAGTCGGTTAGCCCCTGACCGTTTCGTATCAGGCCTTTCTCTGCAATTCCCCCCTACCCCTACCCTCTTGCTAAGAAAGGTTAGCCCCCAACCTGAAGTCGAAAACTATCTATTTCTCGTTCTGGAGGCTAATCGACTTTCTGGTTGGGGGCTTACCGGCTAGGGGCTAATCGACTTTTGGAAACGATGGGTAACCGTCACGTAAGCTTTACTGTAGTATTGATGATGTGATCGTGTACGACCGAAATGAATTATGGTTGTGATTAAAAGCACGTGGTCAAGTGTAGAGTTGAATATGTAACGCGTGCACTTATTTTGGTTGAATCCGGATGTTTCACTGGCCGTGAAACACTACAATTGGTGACGAGAATAAAGTGATACGAAAACACATCTGTTTAAAGGAAAGTTATGGCGACAAATGACGAACTTCGTGGAATAAAGTCATTTGATTGTTGTGGAGATAGCACCAGTGTAGGGCCAAGATGGCGGCAATGGCGAAAGGCGTTTCAATTTTATGTCCATGGTCGGGGGATCACAGCAGCCGCTCGAAGAAAGGCGTTACTTTTACATTGTGCAGGAATGGAAGTCCAAGGAATCTTTGAGACCCTAACGGATCCCGGTGTACCTGAAGGGGAAGAAGAAGACAACGTATACAAGGCTGCACTTCGAACACTCGATGCGTACTTAACACCACAAGTGAATGTACCGTACGAGTGACACATTTTTCGGGAAATGAAGCAAGAAGAGCATGAAACGGTCCATCAATTTGTTGTACAGCTCAGTAATCAAGCTGCGGATTGTGAATTTGCCACTACGAAGAATAAGCAAGTACGTGATCAAGTTATTGATAAATGCTAGTCCACAGAGCTTCGGCGAAAACTTCTGGGAAACGGACAAGAGCTAACATTAGCAGAAACGCAGAGGACTGCTCGATCGCTGGAGTTATCGCAGACCCAGGCCAGACAGATCGAAGGCGATGCGGGAGCGTCTGTTAGTGCCATCAAAGAAGACAACAAACCCGAAGGAAATGGAAGAAGTGATCAGAAGAGTTTGAAATGTTACCGATGTGGACAAAGTGGACATTTCGCACGTGACAAGCATTGTCCGACAAGATCTAACACCTGTACAAAGTGTCATATGACAGGACATTTTGCCTCAGTTTGCTGAACAAAGAGTAAACAAGAGCAGAAGAAAAAGAACACACGGAAACAAGGTGGACGGGGAAAAGTTAACTGCGTGGAGGATGGTGAAGATGATGAATATGCTTTTACTGTGGGATTCGGTAAATCATGGGACAGGAGTGGACCAGAGATGGTCGATTTACAAGTTGGAGGTGTCACTCTTAATGGAGTTCTCATCAACTCAGGATCATTATGTAATATCATTGATCAGAAGACGTGAGAAGAATTGAAGCAAAAGGAGTAAAGTGCAAGTCAGAGAAGGCAAATCAGAAATTCTATCCTTATGGAACTTCAGAACCACTGAACACGCTGGGAAAGTTCGACGCATCAGTAAACCTAGCTGGAAAAGATGTTACAGCTGAATTTATTGTCATTTGCAATGAAGGCAGGCCGATACTGGGCAGGAAGACAGCCATGGAGTTGGATGTACCAAGGCTGGGACTACAAGTTAATGCTGTAAATACACCAGACCTTGTTGATAAACACAAAGCATGTTTTGAAGGAGTAGGCGAGTTAACTGACTATCAAGTTAAAATTCATGTGTACAAAGAAGTTAATCCAGTGGCTCAGCATCACAGGCGAGAGCCATTCGGTCTGAGAGAGAAAGTAGAGAGCAAGCTGCATGAGTTAGAGCAGCTGGACATTACTGAGAAAGTAAAAGGACCAACACCTTAGGTCAGCCGAATAGTAGGAGTTCCCAAACCTTCTGGTGAGATTCTATTGTGCATTGATATGCGCCAAGCAAATGAAGCTATTGTGAGAGAAAGACATCAAATTCCCACCGTTGATGAGGGCCTCCACGACATGACCCAAAGCAGTGTGTTCACCAAGTTAGACCTTAAATGGGGCTATATCAACTGGAACTGAGTGAAGAAACACGTGACATTACAGCATTCTCAACACATGCTGGACTTTATCGTTACAAGAGATTGATGTTTGGCGTAACCTCAGCTCCTGAGATCTATCAGCATGCTATCCAGCAAACTCTGCATGAATGCGAAGGAGTGCGTAACATATCTGATGATATTATTCTTCATGCTAAAGATGATGACCAGCAACATAACGAGAGGCTCGAGAAGCTGTTAGAAGGATTGCAACAAAGAAGTTTGACCTTGAATGGTGAGAAGTGCAAGTTCAAGATGCCCCTGTTAGAATTCATGGGAAACCTATAGATCGTTTTCACGTGACGTCATCATTTTCTAAAATCGAAAACTAAAGAGCCACGAAAGTTGTTATCCCCATCAGGCATAAGAGGGGGTAAATTTATATCTGTTTACAATTTTACAGCTCAATAGTTTGCTTTGTTTGGAAAACAGCGTATTTTGAATTTCAGTGTTATGGTGGTGCGTGACACAAAGCTACGATCGCATTTGTCGAAACATATACCTATCTCATGATTTTTAGCTGTTTTAGAAGTTAGAGCATTTGGAAAAGTGCTTATGCAAATGCTTGTTTGCTCATTACAGATAATCAGTCGCCTAGATAGCCAAAGTGAGTTCCAGATGTTTACACTCTTTCCCGGCTGCCATGTTGGTGCCCATCCGGATGGGCACCAGCATGGCGTCTCCATACAAACCTCTATAAATTTGGATAAAAAATGTCTCCGCATATCTTGCATAAAAAAATTGCTGTGACCTGAATCTTGGCGAGAGTCTTTGCATATTTATCTTCTTTCTTTTCCCAGATTCTGGACTTTATCTATTGAACGGTTTTGATTTATATTTTGATCCATTTTGAATGGCGTGACACTGAAAACCAGCAATTGTCTACACGTGGTATTGCACCAACAGAATCCAAAGTTGAAGCAGTAGTCAATGCCAGAGAACCTGAGTCTGTAGCAGAAATAAGAAGTTTTAGGGGACTTGTGAATTTCAGTGCAAAATTCATTCTAAATCTGGCCACAGCTGCAGAACCACTTCGACAGCTGACACGAAAAGGAGTAACATTCACATGGGGTGAGAAGCAACAAGAAGCGTTTGAAGCTCTGAAGGAAACACTAGCAAGTGCTGAAACATTAGCTTACAATGACAAGGATGTCAAAACAAGAGTCATTGCTGATGTAAGTCCGGTACGACTAGGCACTGTTCTAGTTCAAGAAAAACATGGCAATTGGAGACCAGTCTACTACGCTAGCAGAAGTCTAACAGCAGTTAACAGAAGACATTCTCAAACAGAAAGAGAAGCTCTGGCACTAGTCTGGGCCTGTGAAAGGTTCCATGTTTATCTATACAGAAAACATTCCGAGTTGGAAATTGACCAAAAACTACTTGAAGTGATCTATTTAAGTAAATCTCAGCCCTCTGCAAGAGTTGAAAGATGGGTCTTATGACTTCAACCATATGACTTTATGGTGATGTATCGTCCAGACCCACAGAACATAGCTGATGCTGTGTCTTGTCCAACCCAAGAAGTTTCAAATGAAAGCAAGAATACATTCAGTATGTTGCAGAGAATGCAGCCCCCAGAGCCATAACTATCCAGGAAATTGAAGAAGCATCTGCTGAAGATGAAGAAATTACAGTGTTAAGGAAGTGTGTTCAGACCAATGATTGGACTGTCGGCGAGCCAGCTTTTAAAGCTGTGAGAAACGAGTTAACTGTGCTAGGGAAGTTAGTGTTGAGAGGAACTAGATTAGTCATTCCGAGGAAACTTTGCAGGCAACTACTGGATCTAGCTCATGAAGGCCATCAAGGTAAAGACTCTGTACCAAGGTATGGCGGCCCGGTATAGACCGTCAAGCAGAACAGAGATGCAGAACATGTCATGGTTGCCAGCTTGTTGGTAAACTGTTGCCCCCAGAACCAATGAAGAGAACAGAATTGCCTACACAGCCATGGCAAGACCTCGCAGCAGATCTGCTGGGACCCTTTCTAAATGGTGAATATCTACTGGTGGTTGTTGATTATTTTAGTCGATTCTCTGAAGTAACTGTAGTCAGTGACATCTGGCAAAATGATTAGCTGTCTGGAAGCAATGTTTGCTACTCATGGACTACCGCTGTCAATAAAAACAGACAACGGTCCACAATTTGTGTCAGAAGAATTTGAAGCCTACCTCAAAGATCAGACAACAACAATGACCACAGAACATCAACCCCATTATGGCCACAAGCCAATGGTGAGGTAGAGAGACAAAATAAGAGTCTGCTGAAAGCTATGCAGTTTGCGCACAGCGAGGAACGTGACTGGCGACTGGAATTGCAGAAATTCTTGCTCGGTTACAGAAGCACACCACACACAACTACTGGAGTGAGTGCTGCTAAATTGTTATTTGGAAGAGAGATTTGTTCAAAGCTCCCAGGTGTGGAAGAGTTACACTCAGCTAGTAATGACAGTGAAGTCTTGGACAGAGATCGTGAAAGAAAGCAAAAGGGAAAAGACTATGCTGATAATCTGAGAGGTGCTTGTGAGTCAAACCCGAAAGAGGGAGACAAAGTTCTTCTTCAGAAACCGAAGTCAGACAAGCTGTCACCATCATTTGAAGCCACATACTATGAGGTGGTCAACAAATAAGGAAATCATGTGGAAGTCTCTTGCTGGCGTCCACTACAAAACAAATGTTACTCCCCTACAGAAGTATGAGGAGGATAAGTCACAAGAAACAGCCAGCAATCCTAAATGGACATTATCAAAAGACCCAGAAACTAGTCAGGAAGGGGGAACCAAGAGTTTCAACTCTGCGTTATGTGTTGTGGCCCAGGTGCAATCTCAGCCTGAGAGGCTAAAAGATTATGAACTCGGTTAAGACTTTGTTTACATGATGGACATTTCTTGAGAAGGACATGTCATCTTTATTAATGTGTCATTTTTGTATTGATTTAAGTCTTGGATATTGAAGCACTTCTCTTTGAGTTAGTAGCCATTTAGAACAGGTTGTAGTATGTATGTATTGTTATTTTGTTTATGAAATTGGACTGGACAATTTATTCGAAAAAAGGGAGAGATTGTAGTGTTGATGATGTGATCGTGTACGGCCGAAATGAATTATGGTTGCGATTAAAAGCACATGGTCAAGTGAGTCGAATCTGTAACGCGTGCACTTATTTTGGTTGAATCCGGATGTTTCACTGACCGTGAAACACTACATTTACCACCTTTTATAGTCCATCAGTCGACCAGACATCACAAAAACGTTCCCGCCAATATTTCAGTAATTTCCTACATGGAGCGAAGCGAAGCCAATTCTGTACGGAGCGAAGTCACTTCGGTATTCATGGGAGTGAAATCACTTCCGGGTGTGGAGCAAAGTTAATCTTGTAAATAGCGAAGTCACTTCAGTATGAAGCAATTTCACTTCTCATGCAGAGCGATCTGACTTATGGGCTGGAGCGAGCTTCTCTCCATGGAGCGAAGTGACCGTGAATTTCATCCATCAAACCGCAACGCAACTAGCCTGTCCACACAGGCAGATTTTCCCCTTTTGTTCTGCACAACGCAAGACCAACACACCAACTGACTAACATTTACACGAAATATATGACGCCATGTGCGAACGAGAAAACGTGCAAAATTACTAATTAAGCATTCCTAACACTCATAGCTCCTCTCTTACACACTCAAAATAGACTTTGAATAAAAAAGTACTCACTAACCTTGCTCACCAACAACAAAACAGATTTCGTCGTCCACGAGTGATTTGTGAAAACTGGGAACGAGATTTCTGCTCCTGTAGCCTGGGCCTAGTATGTTCGCGACTGAGGCGTCCATTGTTGGATGAGGAAGAAGAAACTTTGACTGAGAGCACTCGGAGAATTTGAATTGTTATTCAAGATAACCAGAAGGTTAGTGCTCTTTGTTCTTATGTTTTATTATTTTCTAGTGGAAGAAAAGACTTACTTCCGGATGCTTCCACTTTCTGTAATCTGAAAACCAGACAAGATCAAATTTGACATTTGTAGATCACTTCAAATCATGTTTGTTAAAGCTTGGACACATTTCATGTTTAGAGAAACCCCGGTAGAGCGAAATGCGAATTGCCAAGGGCATGTTTTGATCAGGCTTGCAGGTTTTTTCGGGTGCTGTACATGAATGATTGCCTGGGTTCCTCTGTACAGTCGAACCTCGATTATCCGGACCTCGATTATCCGGACTATTCGATTATCCGGACTTTTTTCTCTGGTCCCAATTTTTTCATGAATATTAATTAGTTGTGATCTTGAAAACTCAAAGTCGCAAAAAGCCCAATAATCTTTTCAAAAGACTGCTGAAACAGCGTATTATCCTGGGCGCTTTTCAAAATTCGCAAGGGCGACGAGACAAAGAAATATTCTGATGCGTT